TATCGCCGTCATAAACACGAAAGTTGATCGTGTTTATGAAGTCGAATATCGACATCATAAACATCAAAGTTGATTGTGTTGATGGCGTCGTATATCGACGTCGAATTTTGTCGCATATCGACGTCATCAACATCAAAGTTGATCGTGTTTATGCCGTCGAACATCGACCTCATAAACATCAAAGTTAATCGTGTTTATGACGTCGAATATCAACGTCATAAACACCAAAGTTGATCGTGTTTATGACGTCGAATATGAACGTCATAAACACCAAAGTTGATCGTGTTTATGACGTCGAATATCGACGTCATAAACACCAAAGTTGATCGTGTTTATGACGTCGCATATCGTCGTCATCAACACTAAAGTTGATCGTGTTTATGCCGTCGAACATCGACCTTATTAACATCAAAGTTGATCGTGTTTATGACGTCGAATATCAACGTCATAAACATCTAAGTTGATCGTGTTTATGACGTCGAATATCGACGTTATCAACACCAAAGTTGATCGTGTTTATCACCTCGAATATCGCCGTCATGAACACGAAAGTTGATCGTGTTTGTGAAGTCGAATATCGACATCATAAACATCAAAGTTGATCGTGTTGATGGCGTCGTATATCGACGTCGAATTTTGTCGAATATCGACGTCATCAACATCAAAGTTGATCGTGTTTATGCCGTCGAACATCGACCTCATAAACATCGACGTCATGAACATCAATGTTGATCGTGTTTATGACGTCGTATATCGACGTCATAAACATCAAAGTAAATCGTGTTTATTACGTCGAATATCGATGTCATGAACATCAAAGTTGATCGTGTTTATGACGTCGAACATCGAAGTCATAAACACCAAAGTTGATCGTGTTTATCACTTCGAATATCCACGTCATCAACACCAAAGTTGATCCTGTTGATCACTTCCAATATCGCCGTCATAAACACCAAAGTTGATCGTGATTATGACGTCGAATATCGACGTTATGTACACCAAAGTTGATCGTGTTTATGACGTCGAATGTCGACGTCATCAACCCCAACGTTGATCGGGTTTATGACGTCGAATATCGACGTCAAAAACACCAAAGTTGATCGTGTTTATCACTTCGAAAATCGACGTCATAAACACCAAAGTTGATCGTGTTTAACACTTCGAATATCGCCGTCATAAGCACCAAAATTGATCCTGTTTATGACGTCGAATATCGACGTCATAAACACAAAAGTTGGTCGTGTTTATGTCTTCGAATATCGACATCATAAACACCAAAGTTGATCATGTTTATGACGTCGAATATCGACGTTATAAACACCAAAGTTGATCGTGTTTATGACGTCGAATATCGATGTCATGAACATCAAAGTTGATCGTGTTTATGACGTCGAATATCGATGTCATGAACATCAAAGTTGATCGTGTTTATGACGTCGAATATGGAAGTCATAAACACCAATGTTGATCGTGTTTATCACTTCGAAAATCGACGTCATCAACACCAAAGTTGATCCTGTTGATCACTTC